ATAAAAAGTTTCGTGACCACCAGTGGAATTTCACAAATTTGCATAAGTCAAATTTGTCGAGAAATGTTGCGGCAGCCGGTTTTGTTCCAATTCAGGGTCAGTATGTTATGTTCGGAAACATAACGAAGCAAGAAAACGGTTTTTTGATAAAGTTCATGTTAAAATATCAGAGTAATTAACCGTTCACAAAATAATAATAATAAAAATCGACCTCGAAGAAGCGTTATATAAAAGCGCCGAATTATTATGTAAACTATATCCCATGTCTCTCGTTTCTTCTCCTAACTTCCTTTAATTAGCATCCATCTGTATCATCGTAAATTCGCTTCCGGTATGTCTAAAATAGGTAGGTACATTTTCCTTGAAATTTTATTTTGAAGGAGGGTTTTTGCTAACGGGATACGCTGCGTGAAAGGAAGTCATTAACAGTTAGAGTAACAATGTCACGCAACTACGTCTCGAGCAGCTCCGCCTTCCTTTACTAATTTTTTTTCTCCTCATGAAACTTTATGGAAACTTTGTTTTGAACAGACAATGTGTTGTTCGCAACATCATTTGTGTCTTAGTAGTTTATTTTCTTTTCAGAAAGAAGGGATACTAACTTTGCATGCCTGTCAGTCACACACTAAAAGTTAGCATTTTCTTGTCAGAGATGTTGAAATCTAATTTTTTTACTACGTATTACAAACAACAACCCGTCCCTTGGTTAATTTCTTTACTTTTTCACAAAAAGAGGTATAATTAGGCAGCTACCAGCTACAGGAGAGATTCCAGTTGGAGACTTAACTGGGTGGGTTTTGTTGTTTTGGATAGGTGGTCGCACATGGAGTTTCAACTGTACTCCAACAGAGTAAATCACCTTTCACGACGTTGCGACTAGGATTTGTCCATGGAAGATAAGACTCCTTGTTCACCGCTATTGAGCTACTCTAACCAACTCCCACCCATGTCGAGTGCTTGCAAAACGCAGCATCATCTTGAAAAGAGAAATATATACATAAGTACCATTTACTAACCTGGCAGTATGGTGACACACAGTAAAAGAGTAACTTGAATACGTTTTTCAGTTTACAGCGGACCCGAGTTTTGTTTAAAGAAATACCTGCCTTTTGCTCAGGGGTATTAACGTCAGTATCCGCAATGTCCCAGCTCGAGCCTTCACACCGGAACGTCCGATCGAATCACTGTTTAGTTGATAGTTACCCTTCTCTTCCTCTTCACGACTTATCTAGGAAGATCGAAGGACCTCTGCTCTCAGGGTAGTTGATAGCGAACAAGGAGCTAAATAACATAGCGAGGTAAGTAAGTGGCATCGGCGGTTTTATTTACGCCTAACCGTTTCCCAAAGTAAAGAAGGAAAGAACTTCAGACAAAGGGAAAGAAGAGTTATGCGATAAAACTGCTCTTAAATTGATGTTTATAGCTATGGCATATGCGAGGGGGTGGGGGCTATTTAATTGCTGAATAACATGTGCCGTTACCAAAAATTACGGAAAAACATTTTTTCCTTGGTTTGGAATTTTGACAATGAAGATTTTAGCTCTAGCCATTTGTGATACCAGGCAAAAAACAATCCAATATTTAGATATTTCCCTCTTAGCAGCAGACCCTCTAATTACAGTGTCCTTAAGTTTGGACGGTATCTAATATTATATATCCGCAGGAACGAAACATGGCAACAGCTGGTTACAGATTGATCAATGTGTGAGGCGGGGTTCTGGGATCCCTGTGACAGTTCTTGTCAAGAAGACCACAAATCAGTATATTTGCTGATTTGGGCTAATTATCAGTCATTACTTACTGCCTTTACTGCCTTAACCCAGTCAAAAATGTTCCTGTAGAGTTACATGTGGGGTATGGAGAAGGTATCATTTTATCAGGGGAGCACTAGCCAAAAATATCTTTTGGGTGATGCAGATGACCCAATTTTTCCAATTTTCAGTCCATGTCCATCCTAGCCATCAGTAGCAACAGAACGCGACAGGAAACAGTTTCAGTGCCTAAACATAGTCTTACATAACAAAACTGGACCATAATTTTTGGAAGTAAATTGATGCGAAATGAAGACCATATTAGCTTTTTAAAATGAACTAGCAATTAGCTTGGCATAGCCCCTTTAACTCTTTTTTGACGGCCAATTTTAGTAGAAGAAAACCCCGCCTTTTAACCAAACCCTCCTTTTTGGACCGGCTTTCAACCAGTTAATAGCCTGCATAACAGGCGTTATTTTTTTCGCGTTTTTGCAGGACAGGAAGGCAAGCGCCAAGTGAGTGAGAAGCACAGATAAGCGCGACGGGGAAGACGCAGAAAAAACAACGGCATGTCCACGTAGCATTGTTTTTCTGCATTCCGCCCCAGACATACCCCTTAATGGCTCTCCTCACTCGCTTCGCGCTTGCATTCGCTCTGGCGGCTTCGGGATTAATTGCCTTCGCTCGCCTGAAAAACGCGCGCCTGTTATGCAGGCTAGCCAGTTAGCTTGATATGGGAATGGCTGAAA